ATTTAGAAGGCAGTTTAATGACATGCCCATCTAGGAAAACATCAGTAGAAGAGTCCTCTTCAGGGACTGTGACATCCCTGGTCTTGAGACCAGATGTACAGTGACAGACACGTATTCCGTCCCATTGAAGGGGCCTCAGATCCAACCATGACACCACTCTTGTCTTAACTACGGTTTCTATTTTGAGATAAAACATCATGCCCAAGAACAGCTTTGGGAGAAAAGGGTTTATTTCAGCTTACAATTTATATGTAGTCTATCATGAAGAGAGGTCAGGGCAGGAACTCGAGGCAGGAACTGAAGCTGAGGCCACGGAGGGGTTCTACTTACTAGTTTGCTTCCCGAGGCTTTCTCAAACTGCTACACTCCAGGACCAGCTGCCCAAGGGTGGCACCATGCACAGGGGGCTGAGCCTTCTCACATTAATCATTAATCAAGAAAACGTCCTACAGACTTGCCTATAGGCAATCTGATGAAGACATTTTCTCAATTATGGTTCTTCTTACCAAATAACTCTAGTTTGTGTGAGGTTGACAAAAAGCTAACCAGCATAACCTTTCTCTCCAAAATTTTGACTATAATACTGAGGTGAGTGATACAGATGAGCATTTTAAGTTCTCTAGAGTTTTTGTTGAACTAATCTTTCACGTCCTTTTCATGTTAATCTACTAAAAGTTCACTGTAAGAAAACCTTGAAATGAGTCTAAAGCACCAGGGTACATTACCAATGGTGTTCTGTAAGAGTCCTTCTGATCTGCATTAAGGTGGGCACACAAAGACCAACCCCACTTCACCCAGTTCCACCCACCCAGTTCCACCCACTTCACCTTCCCTTCACCCCACATGCTGCGCATGCCTAGGCCCCAGCCTCGGAGGCTTCTGAGGCACAGGAAGCCTCCCTCTGTTGTCACCGAACTCCTAGGAGCCTGGCCAGAGCAGCACCAGAGAACAAGTCATTCACCCTTCTCCCAGCTCGTAAGATGTACTAGAGAAATCGAACCCACCATACAAGTGCCTGCTGAGCACTAGCAGCTGTATGCCTCAGGTCAGATGCTGTTACCAATGGCAATACAAACACACAGGTAGCTATGCTGGCTGTTTAGGACAGTTCTGGACTCCAGCATGTCCCACTTTCTGACCACAGTCTTGATCTCTAGAGTATCATGCACAGTCAGACCACAGTCCTGACCTTCAGCATGTCTCACACAGTCAGACCACATCCTGACCTTCAGCGTGTCCCACAGTCAGACCACATCCTGACCTTCAGCATGTCTCACACAGTCAGACCACATCCTGACCTTCAGCATGTCCCACAGTCAGACCACAGTCCTGACCTTCAGCATGTCCCACACAGTCAGACCACAGTCCTGACCTTCAGCATGTCCCACAGTCAGACCACAGTCCTGACCTTCAGCATGTCCCACAGTCAGACCACATCCTGACCTTCAGCGTGTCCCACAGTCAGACCACAGTCCTAACCTTCAGCATGTCCCACACAGTCAGACCACAGTCCTGACCTTCAGCATGTCCCACACAGTCAGACCACAGTCCTGATCTTCAGCATGTCCCACAGTCAGACCACAGTCCTGACCTTCAGCGTGTCTCACACAGTCAGACCACAGTCCTGACCTTCAGCGTGTCCCACAGTCAGACCACAGTCCTGACCTTCAGCATGTCCCACAGTCAGACCACAGTCCTGACCTTCAGCGTGTCCCACAGTCAGACCACAGTCCTGACCTTCAGCATGTCCCACAGTCAGACCACAGTCCTGACCTTCAGCATGTCCCACAGTCAGACCACAGTCCTGACCTTCAGCATGTCCCACAGTCAGACCACAGTCCTGATCTTCAGCGTGTCCCACAGTCAGACCACAGTCCTGACCTTCAGCATGTCCCACAGTCAGACCACAGTCCTGATCTTCAGCGTGTCCCACAGTCAGACCACAGTCCTGACCTTCAGCATGTCCCACAGTCAGACCACAGTCCTGACCTTCAGCATGTCCCACAGTCAGACCACAGTCCTGACCTTCAGCATGTCCCACAGTCAGACCACAGTCCTGACCTTCAGCATGTCCCACAGTCAGACCACAGTCCTGATCTTCAGCATGTCCCACAGTCAGACCACATCCTGACCTTCAGCATGTCCCACAGTCAGACCACATCCTGACCTTCAGCATGTCTCACACAGTCAGACCACAGTCCTGATCTTCAGCATGTCCCACAGTCAGACCACAGTCCTGACCTTCAGCATGTCCCACAGTCAGACCACAGTCCTGGTCTTCAGCATGTCCCACAGTCAGACCACAGTCCTGATCTTCAGCGTGTCCCACAGTCAGACCACAGTCCTGATCTTCAGCGTGTCCCAGTCAGACCACAGTCCTGATCTTCAGCGTGTCCCACAGTCAGACCACAGTCCTGGTCTTCAGCATGCCTCACAGATGACCTCTGTGCAAGACAGGGGAACCTATGTCTACCGTCTTCTTTCCAAGCACTTTCCTCAAACATCATCACGCATCCTTTTTTTTTTTTTTTTGAGGCAAGGTCTGACTTTATAGCTCAGTCCTCCCTAGTGCTGCAATTACAGTCACAAAGAGAAACACACTGCCTGGGTCCCTTTAAGAAAAAAAATCAGCCGAGCTTTGAGAGAACAAGTCTATCTGGCTGGATGCAAGCCAGCAGCACGTACCAGACTTAGAAAACTACCTATCATTGCAGACACGTGTGTGTAAACATGACTGGCAGCTGCCCCTCCCCGTGATTTTGTGACTTTTACCTTCAAGTGCCTACTTTCTAAGGTCTCTGTCACAAACCCTACCCAGGAAACACATCTGGAGACTTCTTCCCTCGCCTGAGGAAAACAAGAGCACCAACCGAGGAGCTGCCCCCAGCTCAGCAGTATTCTCACCTTTACAAATCTGAGCCACCTGCACTGGGAAAGGGGTTGGCTCACAAACCACTGATTTGGTGATCCTCCAAGGTCTCTTCCAAGTGTCACTTGACTTTACAGTTTTGATTTTTAAATTCCCCTAATCAACAAGCATTTGATAAGCACCTTACTCAGTGGCAAGACTCTGAGGTCAATAAACCAGACACTAATACCAAGACTCAGGAACCAGAGATGGGACGGTCGTAGCTCAGAGATGCTAATACTGAGACACAGGAACCAGTGATAGGGATGTAGCTCAGAGATACTAAAACCGAGACACAGGAAGCACAGTGATGGGGCAGGATGCAGCTCAGAGACGCTAATACCAAGACACAGGAACCCCAGTGACATTGCAGGATGTAGCTCAGATGGTCTGGTGCTTGCGCAGTATCATCAGGTCCTGGGTTTGATTGCCATCACTGTCTAAACCAGGTGTGGAAACACACACCTATAATCCTAGCATTTGGGAGAGGCAAGGGAATCCAAGGTTCAAGGTCATCCTCAAATACCCCATCAAGTTCAAGGGCAGTCTGGGCTGCGTGTCTTGGAGGGGTTAAAAGAAGAGAGAGAGAAGTAACAGTGATAGAAAAAATATATCTAGACAAGTTCACTGAAATAGTTTATTTTATGTTCCCCAACTATTAAAATGAAGTAGCAACAAGGGGCACTCGGCTGGCATGGACTCCTCCTAATGCCCCTTCCCTGCCCATGACTCACAAGACACAAGCAGAATGATACAACTCAAACTTGTTACAAGTTGAAAAAGCTAAATATTTTATTAAAATATACATGAGGAACCTCTGTTTTCCCCTTATTCTGACAGTATTCGAAGTCATACGGAAACTAAGTGAACAGTAATTGTCCTGGTGGAGAGAAACAAAGGTCAGAAGAAATCAAGAGAGCCCAACTTGGCTAAGTGCTTCTCTGGTGGGGACAGTGTCCTCAGCTAGAGGAGGTGACTGGAAACTGTGCTGCCTGGGGTCAAAGGATGCGCTCTCCAGAGCAGTGCTTCTCCCCCTTCCTGACGCTGCGATGATTAACACAGCTCCTCATGCTGTGCTGACCCCGACCATACAACGATTTCATTTCATAATCCTAATACAGCTCTGATATGAAGGATTGCCTGATATGCAACCCCCGTGAAAAGGTCACTGGACCCCAAAGGGGCTGAGAGCCACTCTCTAAACCCTCAGTTTAGAGGCTGCGGGGTGACAACACTTCAAGAAAGGTGAGAAACAACAGTTTGCAGCTTGAAAAAGAGCATCAACGTCACTGTTTTATTCACACCAATTAGAATACATACACAAAAATGTGTATTATATGTTGTTTTAAAAAAAAAGTCCATGTTCCATGAGAACTATGTGAACGACATAAAATGTTTCTGCTATGTAACAAAAGAGGAAGTCAGCATTCCCAGTGTTTGTTAGGAAATAGTTAGACAAGGAGTTTAGAGTAAACAAAATGATGTTACAGAGCAGTCTGCACCAAGCAGCTCTACATCCCAGCAGCAGGAAATCCACCCTTTCAAACCCTTTGGTACAAGTAAAATTAAACCAAAGAACGAAACCTCCCACTCTGGTTGTCTGTGAACTGGAAGCTCGGCCGTGGTGCCGGCACAGACACTCAACTCACAACGAAAGCCTGCCACATGCTCACCTCTCGGGAGGTGGACAAGCCAGGAGAGGCCACATCATCTAAGTGCTTCACTCCTTCTGTAGAGTGACCAGGCTCTCAGTGATGGTGTTCGGCTTCACAAACTCAGGTCAGCTTGGCTGAGGAGCCTACTGCCTTGTCACGAGCAGGAACAACTCTACCAGGACGGCTCAGAGCAATTCACATTTAAAGCACAACGCAAGCTTCTTTTCTTTTTTGTTGTGAAGTGTCTCTCTATGTTGTCCTGGCTGTTCTGGAACTTGCTATATAGACCAGAGATCTACCTGCCTCTGCCTCTCAAGTGCTGGGATTGAAGGCATGTGCCACCACGCCCAACCTAGCATATATAAGCATCTGAAAAATCATGTTAATACAGTTTCTCAAGAAGTCCATATTTAAATAAAAATAACATATTGCATTAATACAAAGAAAAACGTTAAGTTTAATAGCCCACTGACAATAGTTTCAAAAAATAGAAATAACCATTTGCAGCTACTAATATCTCTTCATTAGGACACACTTAATTTTGGTAACTACACAACTAAACAGATCTGAGAATTTTCCACAGCATTATTTTATGGTTGCAGTTTTTCTTCTATACTGTCCAAATGCAGTACTGATTTTCTTCTGTGCCTTTTAAAATGAATTCCTACATCTGAGAAGCCGAGGTCAGCAACTGCTGCTGAGTCACTTCTGTCATCATCACTGGAGCCAAGAGGGTGGGTCACCACGGGGCCTCCCAACAATGGCACTCCTGCTGGAACTTCCTGGAAGACAACAGAGTCTTTAAAAATCCTAAGTGACTGTCACAAACCCTCAATAACAACTGCTCCCTCCCATCGTGAAGTCAGGCCAGCCACATGCTCAACTTGACTAATCAATGCCGCTATGGCTCCAGAGCTCCATCAAGCCCAGGGCCTCCGACACCTTCCAAAAGGATCTGTGGGGTCTTGGGGATCAGTGAGGACAAGAAGCATAACAAAGCTGGCTGTGGTGGAGCACACATTTGATGTCAGCACTGGGCAGAAGCAGGGGAATCTCTGTAAGTTCAAGGCCAGCCTAAGTTACATAATAAAACTTTGTCTTTAAAAAAAAAAAAAAAAAGGCGGGTGGTGGTGGTACAAGCCTTTAACCCCAGTGCGTGGGAGGCAGTGAATCTCTGTGAGGCAACACTGAGAACCACTCCTTTGAAAAATACAAAAAGATGCAAACGTGTAGCCCTTACCCGCAATGCCTTATGATAAATAAATTGATCAGAATGCCCAGAAAACGGATACTAGGCAAATGATAGAGGTATCAAGTAAAAAGGACACAACATTCAAATACAGTCAGGAAACAATGACTACTTTCTCAGGGAAAGTCAAGTCCCTCTCAAGCCCACACATTTCTAGAGTTAAAGGAAGAACTAAAAGCAAGCAACACTAAATATCTAAGCAGTCATTAGTTTTAAAGTGTACCGCCAATCTAACCTAAAAATAAGAGACAAGTAACAAAGCAGACAGAGACTGCAGGATATCATCCATCGGTTTAAGCAAAAATACATCGGCACAGCCACAGGCACATGTGCACACATCCAACAATCCCTGCCCCACACCTCCAGGAAATGCAAAAAGGTCAGGAGGCAACTGACAAAGAAATGAAACTGGTAGGTTAAATCTATCAAAACTACTCAAGTTCACTAACAAAGGGAAAACAAACAAGACGGCTCAGCAATTTCTGGTGCTCAACTGCCAGAATTCAAAAATAGCCACAATTAGTATTGTCAAGAAGAAATAAAAACTGGCATTATACATTAACAGTAGATATGAAAACTGAGGGGCTTCTCGAGAATGCAACTGAACAGTAAGAGCAGACTAGAAATCTTTCAAAATGTGGGATGTTCTAGGTCTAACAGTGCCACTCACAGGCTTATCACAAGTCAGAGACAGGCAAAAGCACGTAAAGCTACGTGTCAAAGCTATGTACAATAGTGAAGGTGGATATGTTGGGGGGAGTTACCTAACACTCAAAAGTGGAGGATATCCCAGCACTCGGGAGGCAGAGGTAGGCGGATCTCTGTGAGTTCGAGACCAGCCTGGTCTACAGAGCTAGTTCCAGGACAGGCTCCAAAGCCACAGAGAAACCCTGTCTCGAAAAACCAAAAAAAAATAAATAAATAAATAAATAAATAAATATTTAAAAAAATATTCTAAAAAAAAAAAAAAAGTGGAGGATAAGTAAATAAATAATAAAACTATGAAATAAAATTCGATAAATCCATTCAAAAAGGGCCAATGAGATGGTTCGGAGTGAATAAAGGTGCTTATGACACAACCTTACAACCTGAGTTTGAGTTTGGGACCCCATGCTGCAAAGAGAATACTTACTCCAGCAGGCTGTCCACTGGCTTCCACATATGCACCATGCATGGCACATACACCCAAATATAAATACATAAATGTTCATTTAAAGCTTTAAAATATCTAAATAAAGAAGTTGAACCACATATACGTGTTCTCCACTGCCTTACTTCTGACAAAACTCCCTCTCCTCATCTTTGACCTCTGGCCTGACAGTAAAGCCAGTGTGATCACCAGTAATGACCTGCGTCTGCACCTGCCTGAAGCCTGTCCTCTGACCCTTGCCTGCAGCAATCCTCCCTTGCTTGGGCTCAACTTCTGGAGTCCTTTCACTCCAGGGACCCCTGCTCTTTCCCACACTCCTTCAAGGTGACCTCTGAGTCTTTGGATGGCAAATTCATGCTGATGCCTCTGACGTCATCTTTAGCGCTCAGATTTCTTTTCACCTTCAGACCAACATTATCAATTACTGACTCAACAAACCAGAAGTGATTACCCACCACCCCACCACCCAAACACCTGCTCCTCCATGGGCCCTGCCAGGAAAAAGCACCATCACGCAGTTCCCATTAAAACGCACAGGCGTCCTCCGTAACCCTCTATTCCTTTACATCCACAGTGACTTCACTGGTGACTCGTGAGGGCTCCTCTCCGTAACAGACCCAAATTCAATCGTCTCTCATCAGTCATCTCCTGTGGCCAGAGTTCAAGTCACCACTGTGCCAGCCTAAATGGCCTTTCTTTTACTTCTCCTTTTTCTTTCTCTCCTCCATTCTCCTCTTACAGCTGGCATGGCCTGGTTTGTCTTTTAAACAATAATAAAATTGTCCTTAGGCTTCCATCTGAGTCCACTCCTAAATTCTAAATGAGAGTAAGAATTCCGAGAGGACCTGACTTCCCTCTATCATCTTATCACAAAGGGACCCAACAATTTTAGCAGCACAAACATCAGCATTACACATTTAATAAGGATTAACTCACCCAGTAAAATGCAAGTCTGCTCAGTGCTGGGGCTGCTCTGGAATAATGTTCATTGTTCGATAAATTTCTTTAAGTAACAAGAGGGCAGTATCTTCAGATTCCCTAGCAGAAAGAAAAAGTAAGGAGGTAAGTGCCCCACATGCTATTCTACTCGGTTCTGCATGGGCAGATGACAGCAAAGCATGGAGCACAGAGCACTCTTTAAAGCCTGTATGGACTTCAGTCAGTTCCAAAACAGTCATGCTGGGAATCTCCTCAGTGATGGGGACATACGGAAAAATGGCTTTAAAGACCTTAAACTTCTGCCATTAAAGATACCCTATAGGGCTGGAGAGTTGGCTCAGCAGTTTAGAGCATTGCCAGCTCCTGAGTTCAATTCCCAGCAACCACATGGTGGCTCACAACCACCTATAATGGAATCTGATGCCCTCTTCTGGCACGCAGGTGTATATGCAGATAGAGCACCATATACATAGAATTAAAAACTCTTAGGGAAGAAAAAAGATACCCCTATAAAATCACTGCACAAGCACCCGTGGTCTCTGGTCAGGGCAGATGACTCGCTGACACACTGCCACCTTGTGGATTACTGAATTCCATGCAGACTTAGAAAAGTTGCCAACAAGTCAGAAATGTAAACTGCTGGCCAAGTCTCTCCTCAGTATCTGCATCTGGATTTAAAAGAAGCATGAAAGCAACAACAAAAACCTAAAGGGGGAAATATTTTGACTGTATGAATTCAACAGGTGAATCTATTAAGTCCATCACAAGTAGGTAATTAGTAAAAGACCCCCACTACAGTGAAAACACTGTACTAGTTAAAGCCATTCGAGGAGAATCAAAGTGAAAAATACTTACCAATAGCATAAGTGACTCTGAAGAGCAAAAAGATATTCATTAAAACTCTCTATTGGCTTTTCTTGAAGAACATAGTCAATCCGGCGGCCTCCATTTAACATTCCAACCTTTCCTAAGTAGTCCTCATCCTTGGAAAGTTCTGGACTTTCAACAATCTTTTCTGCTAGAATTTAAACCATTTCAATATCAAAGTCAATCACTTAATTATTCTCTAACTTTAGCTGACTCTCTGGGCTCAATGAATATTGCTTGGCACTCATAGCAACTGAGGAGCTATAAGGCTCACTCCCCATTCCTCCAGAGAACAGGGGAAGAGGGCTGGTTCCACAAAATAGAAAGAGACAGCAACAGCTGACAGAAGTTGTGAAGGGGCGAGAGAGCATTGCAGAAAAAAAAGAAGCAGAATTAGAATCTGAAAGTCACAAAGCAAGATGATCTGGCATTGCATATAGAGTCTCAAAACCACAGTTCAGCAGGAGCAGAAGGATGGACCCTCGTGGACGCTTTACAAAGCCTGAACACAAACTTAGCTCTCAACTCATAGTCCGCCCTGGCTTAACGACCCAAAATAAAATCTTAAAATTGCAGAGAAAAGCCCAAGAACTATCAGGTAAAAACTTCTTTAACAGTTAATGAAGGGTGGCATGGAATTCGGAGGACGTATTCCCCTTCAAAGGAGTTACCCAATCTGACGAGGTTAGGAAGGGACACTGTCTCCCACAGATCACACATCATGCTCTTCAACAGTATGCCAGGGAAACGCTTCAATAACAAACATACCTTCCACTACTTGCTTTTCTTCCTCCTCTTTGATTTGATTGGCCACCTTTTCCAATTCTTCTTGCAACTGCGTTGAAGAGGTGTGAGCACGTGCAAATTCATTGAGTGTCTGCCAAGCACTTTTCAGAGAGCTGATAAAGCCCTGCTTCAAATCGGATCCCATTCGAGAAAGGCTCTCTTTCAACTCTAAACAGATTCAGATGACACACCAAGTTAATTAGCCACTGGAATTCTGTGCCATAGAAATTAAAAGTTAACCATGTCACCAGACAAGTAAGGGCCTCCTTCTCCCTTAAATCTTATGGGAGCCTCTTGGAACCAGGAACTCTCAATAGGGTAAAATGCTGATTTGCATTGGATTTTTTTTTTTTTTTTGGTTTTTCAAGACAGGGTTTCTCTGTGGTTTTGGAGCCTGTCCTGGAACTAGCTCTTGTAGTGCATTGGATTTTTTTGAGACAAGATCTCACTATGAAGGGCTGGCTTGAACTAGAAATCCTCCTGCCACAGCCTCCAAGTGCTGAAGTTAGAGGTATGCACTACCATGCCTGGCTTTTTGTTTGTTGTTGTTGATGCAGTGTCTTGGAGCTTCAAGCCTAGGATGCTCCTCACATCTCAGACTGCTGAGCACTGGGGTTACAGGCATGAACCACCCCAACCAGCTTTTTTTTTTTTTTAAACAATTTGATCCATCCCAAACCTAAAAAATTTTTTCTCAAAAAGAAGTTAAAATACCATAATACAGACATAATCCTATCAAATATCATAACACAGACATAATCCTATACATTTTTACCAGAAATTTTTAAAACAGGCCTATAACAGCTGGGCATGGGGGCACAAATCTTTAAATCCCAGCACTCAGGAGACAGAGGCAGGTAGATGGATCTCTAAGTGCAAGGCCAGCCTGGTCTACATAGTGAGTTCCAGAGCAGCTGGAACTATGAAGAGAGAGACCCTGTCTCAAAAAAAAAAAAAAAGGCCTGTAAAACTTTAAAAGTCAGTTTTCTTAATTTGTAATAGTGAGATAATTTTGAGAATATCAGATTCTAGGCTGGCAAAATGACTATAAAAGGCATTTGTGGCAAGCCTCACAAGCCGAGAGGGATCCTAAGGACCCATGTAGGAAGGAGAGAATTGATTTCTACAAGCTGGTCTCTGACTTCCACAACAACACTATGGCACACACATGTGCACATATAAATGTAATTTAAAAAATAAAATTAATTTTTAGATTGTTTTATTATTTGTGTGTATGGGTATTTGGGCTTTGTGTCTGTGCACTACATGCATGCAGGGCCCTCAGAGGCCAAAAGAAGATAGTGGGGTTGCAGAAGGCTGTGTGGGTGCTGGGGTAGACTCTGGCTCCTCTGGAAGAGTCAGTTCTTCTAACCACCGAGGCACCACTCTAGCCCTTGTAATTTTTTTATTTTTTAAATCCAGATAAAGGAGCCCAGCAGAAGTGGCGCACACCTTTAATCCCAGCACTCAGGAGGCAGAGGCAGAGACAAAGGCAGACAGATCTCAGACAGATCTCTCTCAGTTCAAAGCCAGCCTGGCCTACAGAGTGAGTTCCAGGATAGTCAGAGCTATAACACAGAGAAACCCTGTCTCAGAAAAACAACAACAAACGGAATAAAGGAACTGAGGAGACAGCTCAGGGTGCCTGCCGTGCGAGCGTGAAGACCTCAGTTTGAAGCCCAGAATCCATGAAACCCGTTCAGAGTAGCATATGCCGTGTACTGTGGAGCTCCTGAGGGTATGAAAGGTGGTAGGAGAACCCTGGAAACTGTAGGCCAGCTGGTTTGGCACATGCAGCAGATAAAAACCAGAGACCACATTTCAACGAGGTGGAAGGAGAGAACAACCAAAGGTGTAGTCTGACCTCATTTCATTTATGAACACATTCACATCTACATCATGTGCACACACACACACACAACTGTGATGACCACAACTTAAACTTCCAATTTCAAAGACAAGCCCCACCCCTTCGACACCTGTTTGTCTAATAATTATATTTAAATCACCCTGCAAGCTAACAAATTTCTAATTTTAACTTCTAAAAATTTTAATTTTATTTCTTCTTTTTACATTTATTTATTTTTGTATGAAAATATATACCTTTTTAATGTTAGTCTTCTCCCTTCTAAAAATGACACACTACCATAACCTAATCACAAGAGGGCTAGAGAGGTGACTCGGTGAGTTAGAGCACTGGCTGCTCTTGCAGAGGACCTGCATTCAATCCCAGCATCCACATGGTGACTCACAACCATCTATAAGCCCAGTTCATGGGATCCAACACCCTGTCCTGACCGCCATGGGAACCCACAAGGGAAGAGAGAGCTTTGGCACATCACAAAGACATCACACACAATAAATGTTCATAATTCACCACAGTTTACAATATCAACAGGAAAGGGCAACTATGTGGGCTTTTTTTTTTTTTTTTTTTGGTTTTTCGAGACAGGGTTTCTCTGTGGCTTTGGAGCCTGTCCTGGAACTAGCTCTGTAGACCAGGCTGGTCTCGAACTCACAGAGATCCGCCTGCCTCTGCCTCCCGAGTGCTGGAATTAAAGGCATGCACCACCATCGCCCAGCTCTATGTGGGGTTTTTGTTTGTATTGTGCTTTGTGTGACAGGGTCTCATGTGACTCGGACTGCTTGTAACTCATTTTGGAGCCAAGCACACCCTTGAACTCCTAATCTTTCGCCTGCTCTGCAGTAAATGCCCAAAGCAGTTGCTTCTTACCTAAGTGAAGCCTCTTTCTGCCTTTGTGATGTGGAATGAGAACAGCTTTCAAGTCCAAATCTGGAGCCACCATGGGTTCTAATCTGTACGCCACCGGATCAAGCTGTGAGGAGGAAGAGCAGAAACCCGTGAGTGCTTATTTGGAGTTACACGCCACAGTTAGGGAGGCAACCGCTAACTGGCAAGCCAGAGACTGACTTCTTGCCACACCTAACTCAGCTGATGGCAATTACAAGATTTTAAATTTGTAAGTGAAATTATTTTGCAAGCAAAGCAACCAAGACATTTTTTTCCTTTGAACAAAAGCTTTCTGGTAGAAATACCTATTGAAAAGTGCATCAGACTCTTAGGAGGGACGGCTGAGCTCTGCAACTCGTGACTGCCATTGATTTCCAAGAGTCTGAGAATCTCTGGATGAAGAGGACAGAGCTTTCTTCTTTTTAAAGTGCAAAGTAAATTCAAGCCACTCACCGGATGGTAAATATTGAAGAAGCCTTTGCAGGTAGGGAGGCGGTAGTTCTCATCGATCCTGTCCACACCGCGGATAGTGAGGAACATGCCGATTGGAGAGCCCAAGGCAAAGAAAATCTCCGGCTCAAAGTCTAACGAGTTGTAAGTGACAGAAACCTAGGAAGGAACAACAAAAAAAAAACATTCTTCCGTGGTCACATAGACAAACCCTTTGGATTTTTAAATGTTCTTGGGTCTGCACTGGCTCAGGCCCAAACTGCAGAACCTACAGTCACCCTGCTTGGGCCTGCTTCTACTCTTGGTCAAGTTTCCTAATGTCTTTTGCCTCTGCCTCAGTTATAACATGGGAATTTTCACTGAACCGAACTCAATATAGTGAAGAATGAATAACTAAGGCCACAGAAAGCACTCGTCAGCACAGAGAGCGCTCTGTGTTAATGCTGTTACAACTCTGTCTTCTTCATAGGAAGTTAGAGGCAGAGAATAAGAAAGCTCGGGGTCATCCTAAAAATCAGCCAGGTTACATAAAACTCTGTCTCAAAAAAAAAAAAAAAACACTTAAAGCAAGTTCCCCGTCAGAAAAATGGTTTGTCCAAAGAACCACTTAGGATAGTTTACATGAAGTGCAGAGATCACAGGCATATATTGCCATTATAGTCTGGAGAATTTGTATAAAGAGACATGTAATTCAATAGAAATCAGATAAAATCAATACTTTGTAATAGAAAAAAATGTCTTAAGAAACACAAGTGAGGCTTGAGGGTGGCTGGACAGGGAAAGCATCTGCTTCTGATCCCTAAAACCACACAGAGATGCCAGATGTGGTGGTGCATTCCTGAAACCCCAGTGCTGGGAGGCAGAGACAGGAAGCTTGCTGGCCAGCCAGTCTAGCCAAAGCGGTGACTGACAGATCAAGGAGAGATCCTGTCTCAAAGGAAGCAACCATTGTTCCTGAATATCCTATCCAAGGTATCCTCCAGACTCCACACACACACACACACACAATGCGTTAAAAAAAAAAAGTGCTCAATAAATTCAGTGTGATACCATGTTGCCATTTTCTCTGTAAGGCCATCAGAAACATAAATGAAATACAAAAAGAAAAAGCAATTCAATTTTTATGTTTAAAAACTTACTTCTTAGCTGGGCAGTGGTGGCTCATGTCCTTAACTCTAGCACTTGGGAAGCAGAGACAGGCAGATCTCGGAGTTAGAGGCCAGCCTGGTCTACAGAGTGAGTTCTAGAACAGCCAGGGCTACACAGAGAAACCCTGACTTGAAAAAAAAAAATTATTTTAGAAGAAAGTTAGAAAAGTGATCCTAGAGGCTGGAGAGGTGGCTCAGCGGTTAAGAACACTTGATGTTCTTGCAAAAGTCCTGAGTTTGGTTCCCAGCACTCACGTGGCAGCTCACAGACATCTGTAATTCCACTTCCAGAGGATCCAAAGCCCTCTTCTGAACTCCAAGGACACCAGGCACAAAAATGATACTCATTCACACAAGCAGGAAAAATATTCACACACATCAAAAAAATAAATCTAAAAACAAACAAACAAAGGCACTGTGAAGGTGATCCTATAAACATATTTTTAGAGGGAAAAGGGCCTGGAGTGTGTCATTCACCTATCATGAATGTGCAAAGTACCAGTTTTCATTTTAACACTGAAAAAAAAGAATAGGGGCTGGAGAGATGGCTCTGTGGTTAAGAGCACTTGTTCTGAAAGAAGATCCAGGTTCTATTTCCAGAACCCACATGGTGGCTTACAACCATCTGTAACTCCAGTTCCAGGGGATCTGGCACTGACTTCTGGTCTCTGAGGGCACATAGTACACAGACAAACGTGCATACAAAACACCCATATACATAAGTAAAATATATCTTTTAAAATAATAAAAACAAAGACAAAACACTGCAAGGTACAGGTGGGAGGTGCAAGCCCTGACTGCCAGGAAGACTGGCACTTTGTACAAGCGGCAGTAACTGAGAATTTTCATGTGTACATTACCAGACAAGCTGCATGCATAAAAACAACCACAAAAAAGGCTTAAAATATTGATCACTGGACTGCTTTATTAAAAGGGTTTAAAGCCAGAAACAAACTATATGTTCCATATGTGATCAATTGTGTACCCCACCCCCCAAAAAACGTGCTGGAGCATAATCTCCTGTAACTCGAACGTGGCTTTGCTTAGAAACAACCAGTGAAGAGACAACCAAGCTCACAGAGGCCGTTATCAGAAAGCCTGACCAGCAATCCTCACCTATTGTGAAGGGTGGGGAGGCTAGGACTGAGCTGCAGGAGAGAAGACAGTGTGAAGAGGTGAAAATGGACAGTGGAAGCGAAACATCTATTAATGCAGGACAATAAAGTCGGCCCATAAACAAGGAGAAGCTGAGAAGAGATAAAAAAGGCTTGGCCTTCAAGGTTCAGAAACATTACAACCACCTGTAAAGCCAGCCTCTCTTTAGAGGGCCCTGGCTGGCCTGGAACTCATTGCATAGACCAAACTGGCCTTGAACTCGCAGAGAACCACCTGTCTCTAAAGACCTGCTCCACCATACCTGGCAACAAAGACATCTTAATAATATAATCTGAAGCCAGCAAGACGGCTTAGCAAGAGTAAAAGTACTTGATATTAATAGGGTCCTGAGTTTGTGCCCCAGGTCACACACGATAGGAGAGAACTAACCCCACAGGTTGTCCTCTGACATCCAGATTGAGTGTCATGACATGCATACACACACAATAAAAAATACATGCAATAATCAATTTTTAAAAATACAATCTGGCTGGGCAGTAGTGGCTCACACCTTTAATCCCAGAACTCAGGAGGCAGAAGCAGTAGGATTTCTTTGAGTTTGAGGCCAGCCTGGTCTACAGAGTGAGTTATATGACAGTCAGGGCTGATACACAGAGACACCCTGCCTCAAGAAAAAAAAAACAAATCAAAACCTTAAACCGTTAGTTGTCAGCACACACTCACCTGTCCCGTGCCAACGTCAAAAGACTCATACTCAACTTGCACAGAAGACACGCATGCCCCAACTGACAGCTTCCTCTTTGACTCATTGTTTTCTGAAGAAGGAAGAGCCATCTCCTTAGTTTTCAGGACACTGTCGTCTTGTCCTTTCGTCACAGCAGCCATCGCTGCCTTCTTTTCTGACGCTGCTTTCCTCTGCTCCTGGAACACAACAGTCAAGACAGTCTTGAGGAACAGCCAGTTCGTAGCTATCACTGTAAGAAACGCTGTCATGCAATTAAGGAGTTCTTAGTAATTCAGGCAGAGTAACAACACTGGGGCTACTGGGAAAAACTACTTCTTAAAAAATATTTATTTTTTGAGCTGGGCATAGTGGTGCACACTTCTAATCCGAGCACTAGGGAGACAGAGGCAGGCAGATCTCTGAATTTGAGCCAGCCTGGTCTACAGAGTGAGTTCCAGGACAGCCAAAGATACACAGAGAAACCCTGTCTCAAAAAGAAAAAAAAGCTATTAGCTTTGATATGTGCCTCTGTGTATGTGTCGCTGTGTGAGTGAACGCCACATGTGTGTTGGTTCCCATGGAGGCTTGAGAAGGGCACTGCATCCCTTGGAGCTGGAGCAATAGAAGTTGCAGCTGCCATGTGGATACTGGGAACCTAAACTGGTTCCGTCTACAAGAGCAGGCAAGCTCTCTTAGCTGCAAGGCAATCTCTCCAGACTCCCAAGAAAATGTACTTCTTAAAGACAACTACTATCAGCGGGGCGGTGGTGGCGCACGCCTTTAATCCCAGCACTTGGGAGGCAGAGGCAGGCAGATCTCTGTGAGTTCGAGACCAGCCTGGTCTACAAGAGCTAGTTCCAGGACAGGCTCCAAAACCACAGAGAAACCCTGTCTCGAAAATCCAAAAAAAAAAAAAAAAGACACCTACTATCATCAGGAAAGACATGCCATGATTGTTATAATAAACTGTATAATCCTTAGAAAAATAAAAATTACAAAAGACAAAATATAGCAAAATAGCTAAAATTCAATCTAATATTGGCTAACTTGCATGAATCTCAAAATTATTAAATATGGGAAGGCAGATACAAAACAGTACATTCTACGTACTCTACTTATGACTGTCTAGACAGAAACATTTCTGTTAAAAAAAAATCATGCCGGGTGATGCTGGGTGCAGGCCTTTAATCCCATCACTCAGGAGGCAGAGACAGGCAAATCTCTTTGAGTTCGAGGCCAGCCTGCTCTACAGAGCATGTTCCAGGACAGCCAGGGCTACAAAGAGAAAGCCTGTCTCAAAAAAACAAACAAACAAAAAAGAAATGGCAGTGGTGATGGCCGAGAGTCAGGAGTAGTCAGTAAGCAGCGGGGTGGCGCTGAGACACATTCCGCTTCTAGGTGCTGACTACACACGTGCTTAGTTGTCAAACTTCACTGTCCAGAATACCTCAAGAGTTATACATTTCCACAAGCAAACAGCAAAAGCAACAGGGAAAATATATAAGTGATGCTGTTGCTAATGAGGTAAAGCCCATGCCCAAAGGTGGGTAAGCACACCCTGACTGCTCACATTGTCAAGAGAAGGCACACACTTGCCAAGTGGACCTCTTTATCCACAGGGTCAGAGCCCCTTGCTCCCTAGACTGGGAAGGATTAAATTAGTTTCTGCTTCACAGCAGCTTAACAAAACAGCTGGCCAAACTGTTCTTTTCTATTGATAATTCCAAAATTCTATGAACACAGGAAAGTAGTCTATCTGGTTAATATGAAGGACAATAAAAATAAAAAAAAAAATAGTCAGCCAGCTCAGGGAACAGATTCCACCACAGGTATTTTGGACAGCTTGGTTAGCTCACTCCTTGTCTGTATGAGGTAGCACAACCTGAAACCTAAATTCTAAAATTTTCAGTTCTTCCAGTTACAATTTGCTTTCTTGTTCAGTATTACCTTTCACTATATCCATAGAACTTAATATTCTAGATGCTAAGAAAGCTACTTCAAGAAACTATATGAACAGATTCAACGCAATGCCCATCAAAATCCCAGCAAATTTTTCAAAGACCTCGAAAGAACGGTAGTTAACTTCATATGGAAAAGCAAGAAACCCAGGATAGCCAAACAATCCTGTATAATAAAAGAACTTCTGGAGGCATCACAATCCCTGACTTCAAACTCTACTACAGAGCTACAGTACTGAAAACAGACTGGTATTGGCATAAGAACAGACAAGAGGACCAATGGAACCGAATAGAAGATCCGGATATCAATCCACATATCTTCAAATACCTGATTTTTGACAAGGAAGCAAAAAAATACCAAATGGAAAAAAGAAAGCATACTTAACAAGTGGTGCTGGCATAACTGGATATCAACATGTAAAAGAATGAAAAAAGACCCATATCTATCACCATGCACAAAACTCAAGTCCAAATGGATCAAAGACCTCAACAAGACAAAACGACAGCCTACAGAATGGGAAAAGATTTTCACTAACCCCACATCAGACAGAGATCTGATCTCCAAAATATACAAAGAACTCAAGAAATTGGACACCAAAAGAACACATGATCCAATAAAAAAAATGGAATACAGACCTAAACAGAGAACTCTCAACAGAGGAATCTAAAATGGCTGAAAGACACTTAAGGAAATGCTCAACATCCTTAGTCATCAGAGAAATGCAAATCAAAACAACTCTGAGATTCCATCTTATACCTGTAAGAATGACCAAGATCAAAAACACTGATGACAACTTATGCTGGAGAGGTTGTGGGGAAAAGGGAACACTTCTGCATTGCTGGTGGGAATGCAAGCTGGTACAACCCCTTTGGATGTCAGTGTGGCGATTTTTCAGAAAATGAGGAAACAACCTTCCTCGAGACCCAGTAATACCACATTTGGGTATATATCCAAAGGATGCTCAATTGTGCCACAAGGACATGTGCTCAACTATGTTCATAGGAGCTTTGTTTGTCATAGCCAGAACCTGGAAACAACCTAAATGCTCCTTGATTGAAGAATAGATAAGAACAATGTGGTGACATTTACACATGGAGTACTACACAGCAGAAACAAAAACATATTGAATTTTGCAGGAATATGTATGGAACTAGAAAACATTATTTTGAATGAGGTAACCCAGACACAGAAAGACAATTATCACATGTACTCACTCATAGGTGTTTTTAAACATAAAGCAAAGAAAACTAGCCTACAAACCACCATCCCAGAGAACTTAGACAACAATGTGGACACTAAGAGAGACTCACATAGATCTACTCTACATGGGAAGTAGGAAGTAGAAAAAGACAAGATCTCCTGATTAAATTGGGAACATGGGGACCTTGGGGGAGGGTTAAAGTGGGGAGAAGAGAGGCAGGGAGAGGAGCAGAGAAAAATGTAGAACTCAATAAATATCAATTAAAAAAAAAAAAGAGGGGCTGGAGAGATGGCTCAGAGGTTAAGAGCACTGACTGCTCTTCCTGAGGTCCTGAGTTCAATTCCCAGCAACTACATGGTGGCTCATGACCATCTGTAATGAGATCTAGTGTCCCCTTCTGGCGAGTAGGCATATATGCAGACAGAACACTATATACTTAATAAATAAAAATTTAAAAAAAAAAGAAAAAAGAAAAAGAAACCATACGATGACTTATTGCCAGGAGCTATTCTGTTCCCCTAGAGTCCCACAGCAATTTAATGTACAAATGAACCAGCATATACAGAGGTAGCTAACAATATTCCCAATACTAAAAACCACTGTTTCCAATGAAAATGCCATGCATACTGATATCCTTGCTAAAAAACAACGGCTAATTTCAGTCCCGTTATTTCAGTAATAGTAAGTCACCAAGACATAGTACTATTATCTTCATCTGTCAACAATTTACCTCTGAACAATTCAAATCAATCAATGCAAAGTGGCTGACAAAGTTTCTTGGTTCATCTGAAAGCAACTATATTTAATTTAAAAAGTGAGATTATACTATAGATCCTTATTCCTTTCCAAGCATGCTTAAAATGCCACAGCTTATATATCTAAGGCATTGTAATCGATAAACAGGACCCTCCTAGGAGTTTTTCAAAGAACTTTTCGACTTTTTCATACAGAAAAAAAATTAAGGCCATGAAGCAGAGACCCTGAAGATATCACTCCTGGATCCTTGTCTGTCTTGCTCATGGGCCTGGCCTCACTGCTGAGTGTGGACAACCAACTGTGCCTACATACAGAATCACCCCAGCACACTCCTGGAACAACGTGTGTGGGAACACCATGCTCATCAGAGTGATAGCACCTCATTCTCTTTTGGATAAGATCATGTGTGGAGAGGAACTTGTGGGGATCTGCCCACAGACTGCCGGGAGATGCCAAAGAGATGAAGAGAATGCTGTGAACTGGAAATAGCGGGTGGTTTGTTTAACATGCAGGGAAAGGGGCACCTGATGATCTCACAGCTTTTCCCAGCAGCTAATCAAATAGTTGGCTTTATCTAAAGTCCTTGGGAGTTGCTCTCTTTCCATCCCAAATTCATAGCACTATCATCTTTTTCAGCAAATAAAAAATTCTAACTACTTATTTTACAGTTCCTGCCACAGCCTCTAGCTTTGGCCTCCTCTCTGCATACTATAACCAACTGGACCCTGGCCTAAGAAGGTGCTCTCCAGCCATGTCCCTCAGACCCTGAACCATGGGACTTACTGCTATTAAGGTAAAATGTGATTCAGTCTACAGTGGGGAACAAGGTAATGGATATTTGTCTCAGCTGTTGATTTGCAAGGCCTTTTCTGTTTTGTCTTTAGTACTCCTTCTCACCAGGCAGGCCAACACCCTCCTCTGACTTCCATGAGCACCAGGCAGGGACAGAGTGCTCATGCATACATGCAGATAAATCAGTCACCCACATAAAATAAATCTTTGAAAGAATTTTTAAATAAATTAGCAAAAATGAAAAGCCCTTTTTCCAGGGAACCCTCTGTCCCTGGAACACCAAGTTGTTCAGTCACTGCAATGTGGATATAAACCCAGTGCCAACAGACTCTGGAGCCTGGGCTTCCATTTTGTGCTCCTGGTGGAAATAAACTAGTTTGCCAACCAAAGGGGCATTGCAAGCTTCTAAGACAAGAATGAGAGTGAAGCATAATGGCTCACACCTCCAACCCCTCCAACCCCAGGGCTGGGAGACTGAAGCAGAAGGATCATGCTGTATGTGAGTTCTAGGCTAGGCTGGGCTACAGTGTGAGACCTTGCCTTAAAAAATAAAACAAACAAACGAAAAGGGCAGGTACAAAACATGTTCATTTTCTTGAGGACAGAAATGAACCTTACCAGTTTGGCTGCTTTAAGTTTTACGAAATTGGCTATCTTCTTCCTGGGCCCAAGGGGGATCCCCATCTCCTTCAGGTCATCAACTGTACACATAAGCTTTAAAGAAAAGCAGAAGCATATGAATTAATCAGTCTAGAGACAGAGAAGCTGAAAATAGGGTACAAAGAATACTACAAGAATTAACTAAACCAACCAAAAAGTCAGTCAACCTTCAAAATAGCTAGGGCTTTTTGCTTGAAATAGATTATTTTTAGCTTTAAAATGCTCAATCTCAGTTTACTGGTAGAGCACTTGTCTAACATGTGTGAAGTCTTGGCTTCAGTATCTAGTACTATTTTTTTTTAAAAAAAAAAAATGTTTTTTGTTGGCTTTTCAAGACAGGGTTTCTCTGTGTAGCCCTGGCTATCCTAAAACTTACTCTGTAGACCAGGCTGGCCTTGAACTCAAGAGATTCATCTATTTCTGCCTCCCAAGTGTTGGGATTAAAGGCATGCACCAACACCACCTGGCTTAAAAAAATTTTTTAATTAGCCTCTCTATTAAAAATTCTTTTATTTTTAAAAAAAAAATTCTTTTATTTTTGATAGAAAATATAGTATGTGGGGGCTGGAGAGATGGCTCAGAGGTTAAGAGCATTGCCTGTTCTTCCAAAGGTCCTGAGTTCAATTCCCAGCAACCACATGGTGGCTCACAACCATCTGTAATGGGGTCTGGTGCCCTCTTCTGGCCTGCAGGCATACACACAGACAGAATATTGTATACATAATAAATAAATAAATATTTAAAAAAAAAAGAAAGAAAATATAGTATGTCATGCAAAACTCTGAAGTTATACTGCTAACATAATGAAGCTCTCCCCTCAGCCCTCTCCTGTCCATCCTGGTCCCAAGCATCCAGTTCCTTCAGTGGTAACTGTAGCACTCCACCTCTTTAGAAATCTCATGTGCACACAACAGCAACATGCTCTTCAGTGTGTGTCAACCTCGAGCTTTCATCCAAGCACCTGACAGGTCAAGATGGATGACAGTATCTGTACTCAAGCGCAGCAAGTCCTGCTGCAGGGCTGCACAAATGACACCACTACACCCTGTCCGTGAGCACTGCGGCTGCTAAGTGAGCATCCTGCAGGTATTCCCAGAGGTTTCTTTACAGAAAACATTACTACCAATAAAACTGGCAGGGCAAAGGGCACACAACTTATTTTTGAAGACACGAGAAATCTCTGCAGAGACTGTGCCCATTTACACTCTCAGTAACCAGAGCCACAGTGCCAGCTCCCCCTCCTCCTGCCACATAGACTGTTACCAAATGGGTTAAAACCAGTATCGCGTTACTCTTAGAGAACATTCTGTACTTGTTCTCCCAAGGAACAAGGTCACCTGTTCTTTCCTGTAAATCATGCTCCTGTTTCCAATGCCTCATTTGCCTGCTGCTTCTTTATATACACAGAGTTCTGTATAAACTCTGACCATAAAAGCCGCCTGTGTCGGTGTCCAGGTGCTTTTCTAATCCATCTCTGCCCAGTAGGTATTGTCATGCTGTTTACTACTTTAAAATTCTTTTCCAGATATGATTTCTATGTTTTGTCTCATGCACACCTTTAAGCCCAGCACCCAGGAGGCAGAAGCAGGCAGATCTCTGAGTTTGAGGCCAGCCTGGTCTACAGAGCAATTTCCAGGACAGCCAGAGTTGTTATACAGAGAAACCCTGCCTCAAAAAAACAAACAAAAAAATAAAAAATAAAAAAGCTTCACACATTTAATTTTTTTTCCCTCAAATTTTAAAAAGGTTGTATTTAGAGCCAGGCCATAATGGCACATGCTTTTAATTTCAGCACTCAGGAGACAGAGGCAGTAGGATCCCTGTGAGTTTGAGGCCAGCCTGGTCTACAAAATGAGTTACACAGAGCTACAAAGAAAACCTGACTTGAAAAATAAAAACAAGGGGCTGGGGAGATGGCTCAGTGGTTAAGAGCATTGCCTGCTCTTCCAAAGGTCCTGAGTTCAATTCCCAGCAACCACATGGTGGCTTACAACCATCTGTAAAGAGGTCTGGCGCCCTCTTCTGGCCTTCAGGCATACAGACAGAATATTGTATACATAATAAATAAATAAATATTAAAAAAAAACCTGCTGTGTTTATTTTATGTTTACACATGTGTTCCTTCGGTGTATATGTGTGCAGTATGTGTATGCTGGTGCCCACAGCGGCCAGAAGAAGGCATTGGATCCTGGAAAGGAGTTACAGACTGTTGTGAGCCACATTGTGGGTGCTGGAAACCAAACCTCAGTCCTCTGCAAGAGCAGCAAGTGCTCTTAACCTCTGAGCCATCTCTCTCTCCAGCCCCCTTTTTCTGCTTTTTAAACATTAACTTTCTGGCTTATGTGGAATAAATTCTGATGTAAGAGTCCTTAACAAAATAAACCAAGTTATTAGCAGTACCAAAGATTCCATATCTATCTTTTCCTTCTCAAAAATGCTAATGTAATCAAAGAGGCTGAGTGCTTCCAGGGTTCCATGCAAAGTCAGGGGTTCTTCATTTTCAACATCAAGTCCACAGGATTCATCTGACATCAGCTTTGGCTCTTCGGGTACCTTAAAAAAAGAGGAAAATATTACAAAGCTCAGAAAAAACTCTTATAAAATGTCTCGTGATCTACAGAAATCTAAAAGAGCTTTGCTCTACAAATCAACTAAACTTTAGCACTTTGCCATCTTCACCTGGATTTTAAGGAATATTTGTTCAGTAAATCACTCATGCTTCCACTTTCTGTAATAATTTACTTTAAAACTGGGTGGTGGTGGCACACACCTTTGATCCCAGCACTCGGGAGGCAGAGGCAGGCAGGTCTCTAAGTTCGAGACTAGACTGGTCTACAAAAGAGAGCTCCACACCTTCTCCAGTTGTTTTCCCCACCTTATTAGACCATGTCTGTGGCCCATTTTCCAAGTTTGGTAGAGAAATGTTAAGTGCTAGGAAACTGATATTCTTGCAAGCAAGCATTGTACCAGCCTTTAAAGCAGTGAATTCACATGCATGGACATTAGTCTCAATAAACTTTGGTTTTGTTATAAAAAGAGAGAGAGAGAGAGAGAGAGAGAGAGAGAGAGAGAGAGAGCTCCAAGACAGCTCCAAGACAGTTAAGGATGTTACACAGAGAAGCCCTGTCTTGAAAAATCAAACAAATAAATAATGCTAATAGTTTAGCTATTACAATTCTAAGCCTTCACATTTACTTTATAATCCATAAGGAAAAAGAACAAGAAACTCCTATTTTTAGAGATGGCGTCTCACTGTGTTGCCCAAGCTGGCTTTGAACTCATCATCCTCCCATCTCAGCCTCCAAAACAGTGAGATGTAGGGGCATTTCAATTATATTTTAATTAATAACACTCACCTGAAGATCTGAGAGTAAAACAGCACCACTGGTCAGCCTTACAGACCAGGTAATGGTAACACACACCTTTAATCCCAGTAGATACACTAGTCTGCCATAGAAACCGGGCAGTGCATGCCTTCAATCATGGTGTACATGCCTTTAATCCCAGCCCTAGAGAGGATTATAAAACGGAAGGAAACAGCTCTCAAACACAGTCTCATTCTGAGATTCCTGGAGGCAGGATCGCCATTTTGGACTGGTAAGAGCCAGTGGCTGGCTGCTTTGCTTTTCGGATCTTCAGGTTGAACCCCAATTTCTCTCTCTGAGTTTTTATTAACCATGCTTCAGTCAGGATTACAGGTGTGTGACCCAACTTTTCTACTGTACTTCTGAGCCTCAATGTACTTTGACAATTAAAAACAATTAGAGGAAACAGTACAGGTTTTGGAGAACATCTCAGGTCTAGCTCTAAATCTCAACGTCAACAGGGTAACGATAAACTCACCTGCTTTTCCTGAAAATCTGGCTGTTTCATAACTCCATTAGAAACAGTCATAGACCCCGGAGACTTAGAGACACTCATATCTTTTTGATTAGACAAGATGTCAAACAATATCAGAGAACCTAAGGAAAAGATATATTATGCTTTATAACAAAGTTAACTACCCCACGTATTTTTCAACACTAAATAAATCCTCCTGATTTTATTTTTCAGTTTCTAGCAGAAGTCATACAAAGATGAGCAGCTGATTAAAATCTAATAATCAGAACCAGCATGATAGCTCAGCCAGTCAAAGTATTTGTCACGCAAGCTTAGCAACCTGAATCTGATCTCCAGAGGCCATTTGTATCAGTTCTTAGATTTCTATCAACTTGCCAGGAGCTAGCGTCACCAGAAAACAGGAAACCTCAACTGAGAAAACACCCTATCTGACTGGCATTGATTCAAGCAGAAAGACCCATCCTGCTCTGGGTGGTGCCATCTCTGGGCAGGTGATCCTGGGGCGTACTGTGTAGGCCAGGAGGAGCAAGCCAGTAAGCAGCATCACTCCACGGTCTCTGCTTCAGTTCCTGCTTCCAGGTTCTTGTGGGCTCAGGAAGCCCTGCCTGACTTCCTGTCATGATCAACTACAACTGTAAGCTAAAATAAAATCTCCCCTCCCTGCCAAGTTGCTTTCGATCATGGTGTTTATCAAAGCAACAGAAAACAAACTAAGGCACAATGTAAAGGTGGAAGAGAAATGACCCTACAAAGTTGTTCTCTGACCTCCACACAGGTGCTGTGGTACACATAAGTACACATACCGATGCATGTAAGACTCATATATGCCCTGAGTTTGGCAGCCAAAAAGACACAGAGCAACTTCTCGACAAATCAACAATCAAGTCTGAAGTTACATGGGCAGCTTTACCTACACGTTTTTCCTAAAGTTCTAGTAAGATTCCTGCTGCATCTAAGAACAAAACAACACAGTCTAACAGCTAGAGAGATGGCTCCGTGGTTGAGTGCATCCTGTTCTTCCAGAGGATCTAAACTTGGTTCCGAGCACCCACATCCAGCAGGTTATACAAGCATCTTTACCTCCAGCTCCAGGGATGAGACACCCTCTTTGACGGCCAAGGTCACCCACATAAACATGGCATACATTCAACAGACTCACACACACACGGATAAATAAAAGAGAACCTGGAAACAACAACAACGAAAATGCACGGCCTTCCTCCACTGCTGGACATGAAGAACAAAGGCAATCTAAACAAGGAGCATCCGGTTTTACTCACAAACTCAAGCTCCCTATTTTTGCAGGCAGAGAACACAAAGCAATGACCAGCAAACCAACAGGTACATCTGAAATTATGTGGCAGCTTTACCTAAACTGTGACCAGCAACAGACACCTTTCCTTTGAAGTTTGGGTTCCGACTCAAAAAGAGAGAGTGTAACCGGTTTATCTCCACTCCCACTTTCTGCACAATGGACTGACAGTAGGTAGGGCTGTTGTAAAATAAAACATCTAGCAGGGTGTCATTAGTGAAGTGCCGAAACCGACCAATACTTGGCAAAGTGATTTTCTTGATATTCCTGTCGTAAAAGAAAAAACAAAGTTACTGTCAGTATTTACCTTCGACCTCTGGATTTTTAACAGTTAAGCTTTTTATTTCTAATAGAGAAACAACAGTATAAAGGAGAGATTACACATTAACTAGTACAATGAACTTGTAACTGTCACAGGCCAACTTTGACATAGAAAAGCCCTACTGCCCACTTTCTTTTGACTAACTAAAATCTGGATGCCTGACAAAAACTGGCTGCCAGAGACAAGAGGCTGTCACTGTGAGAATATGGAAGGAGTTACCTGAAACAAAAACTCTCAGCATTCACTGAGAAAGCAAGCACCTCACAGCACAGTCCAATGTGGCCAGAACACTGTCCATGGAGTTAGCTTTGTTAAAGCATGAGCCCCAACACATCACAGAGGCCACTAACTGGAACCATTTTACTAGCCACATGCGGCAGCATAAACATTACCTGTACCTGCGGCTCTGCAATGGGCATTGGAAACTGAGTGGGGAGCTTCTGTCACAGTGCCGGGTGGGTGCTGCTCACCATAGGGCACCAGGGATGTTAAATGGTTCCCCACCAAGAGACTAACAATCTGAATCCCGAACGGGTGGCTTTTTTGCCCCATGGGGGACATCACCTGGTAAAGGAGACCCATGTGGCTGTTAACTAGACAAGGATGCTGCTGAGCATTCATGACAGGCCCCACCCGACCACAGCAGGTCAGAGGGTGTTTTAAAGCCAGCTGTAGAGCCAGGTGTGTTCACCATGCCTGGCACTCCGAGTCCATTTTTCAGCACCAAAAGTAAACTCCAACTGTCTAAACTTTCCTAGATCCTCTTAGATGTCTACAATGAGAACAAACCCACGAGAGACACAGGGAACAGGCAGATATTTATAGCACACCCAGCACTTCATCACGTCGGAGCAAGACGTCATTCACATAAAGGCCTTATTTGCTCAAGGTAGAATAAGCCAGTTTGCATTACAGTTTAAATTTGCCTCTAATTTTAGCTACTCTGAAAAATACAGCATCAAACCCTGCAAACCTGTCAACGCCTGTGGCATGCCCACCCAGGGCGCTATGCCAGTGAACTGGAAGGAACTCCACTCTGCTGACTTTCCCTTCCTCAAGAGATTTCTTGAAGTGTGTCTGCAGCAACTTGAGAGAAACCACCCTAAAGTCATCCACTAAAAAAAAAAAAGAAAAAAATAAGAAAAAGAAAAAATATTATTTTAGCTTGGTAGCTAATAAACTGAAATGTGCTGCCATTTTAATAACATAAAGATATATACTTTTTAAAATGATGACTAAATAGTAAGTGAACAAACGCCCAACTGCTAGAAAGTTCTTTTAATTTTCGATATTTTTGAGGCCTAAAGGCCCGAAGATTGGAATCCTATCTCTCCTCAGCATCAGGCTCCAGAACCAACTGTGGCAGTAGAGCACCTTCCTCAGCCAAGGCCTTTCCTCACCTATGCTGGAGGTAACAGAGGCACACCCACACCCAGAGGTGCAGGTGTGAGGCACACACATGCAACACCAAGTAGCCAGTAAACGCAGACTATTACTGCAGACCTGTCTTCACATTCCCAGCCCAACTGAGAAGGCTGCTCGTTTGCATGTCCTAAACTGTTTCTCAGGACTCCCTAGGTGTCAGCTCGCGGCACAGGAGCTCCATGCTGCAGCTAGTGCTCAGGCAGGAAGGCTGTCTACCAAAACGGTGAGATTATTCTCATGGTCCTTTCTGATTCTTCAGAATCTAGGCTTGTATGCCATAAGAGCAGATCAAACACAAACTCATACTTCCTACTGACCACACAAGTCTCCTCAGCCGCGAGTACACAGCTAGGAACATCATAAAAATGTATGCTAAAGAGCCCTTCTATCAGCACTCAGTTTCTCCTAGGAAATGAAATGTGGCTTGCACTTACCACACTCAATAATGCTTCTAAAGCGCAAGTCACACACGGGTCCAATGCCATGCACCATGAACACCAAATGGTCAACTTGAGGCATTTCCCCTAGTAAAAATAGACAAATAATAAAAATCATCTCATACAGACACAGACACACACGCATGATGGAGGAAGGTCATTGGCTAATAAAGGAACTGCCTTGGCCCATTTTATTGCTTAGAGGATAGGTGGGAGGAGTAAACAGAACAGAACGCTGGGAGGAAGAGGAAGTGAGTTCAGTCTCGACACCTCTCCTCTAGGGAGCAGACGCCTGAGAGAGACGCCATGCCCCGCTCCAGGGATGAAGCTCCGACCCAGGATGGACATAGGCTAGAATCTTCCTGGTAAGCGCACCTTGGGGTGCCATACACATATGATTAGAAATGGGCTAAATTAATATGTGAGAATTAGCCTAGAAGAGAATGGGCCAAGCAGTGTTTAAATGAATACAGTTTGTGTGTTGTTATTTCGGGCATAAACTAGCCGTGCAGGCGGCCAGGGTGCTGGGAACACAGCCCCGCCGCCCTTATTACTACACACACATACACACAAAACTGAGAATTTGGTGTTGTTAAACTGCTAAATTCTTGATACCACTTTTATCATAAGCTAGCCAAAGATTTTGGGGACAGAGGCAGGTAGATCTCTGTTGAGTTTGAGGGCAGTATGGTCTACAGAGAGAGTTTCAGAACAGCCAGGACTACACAAAGAAATCTGGTCTCGAAAAACAAAAACAAAACAAACAAACAAAAACAAAAAAACCTAGGCAAAGAAATCCATTACCCTTCCATGAAAATATTCATTATTGGCCTGTGTCAAATTAGAACAACACGTCTACCTGGGGAAAAATGGCAAACTAAATAGAGAGGTCAAGGAAACAGTTGTTCTTCACAAGCCTATGGACCCATCATAATGTGCCATCTTTTCAGAATCCCACAGGAATGGGATGAAGGTGTGGCTTAGGAACATAAAGTGTGCACATGAACATGGCCCTGAGCTCAGTCAAACAAAACCAAAAAATCTTTGCGCACACCTTTAATCCCAGCACTCGGGAGGCAGAGGCAGGTAGAGCTCTGAATTCCAGGACTACCCAGTAAGACCTTGTCTCAAAACAAAAAGATAGAAATGTAGGGTTGATGGCTTGGTGGTTCAAAGTGCTTGCCGTTCCTGCAGAGGACCCAAGTTCGGTTCCCAACACCCACATGGTGGCTCACAACCAATCCTAACTCCCCAGAGGAGCCAGTCCTTCTTCTGACCTCTGTTGGCACCAGGCACACACATGTACATGAACATATATGCAGGCAAAACACTCATACTTGTAAAAATAAATAAATCTAAAATTAAACAAGGAACAATTAGAAAAAAGACAGACGTATGACCAACATATATGGCTGGATTCTGAGCACTCTGGCAGTAATTCCAGCAATGGCCTCTTTCCTTCATAGTGAATGGTGACATTAGCAGAGCACCCCAAACAGATCTTTCTCCTTAAGCGAACTAGACATACCATCAGGAATTTCATCAAGACTGTCATCAATCCCACGCTTTACAACTCTGGGCCTCGTCTGTCCATCCTGTGTTGTCCCCCACTCATCTGGCACTGAAGAAGGCTGGAACTGGACAATAACCTTCAAGACACAAGATTATGATAAGGCTCATTAGCAAAATTATTTCCCACAATAAGTTAAGTAATACTGGGGGGGGGGTGTTGTTTCATTGGTTCTCAAGATGGGGGTCTACACATCCCCTGACTGGCCTGGAACTTGTTACCTAGACAAAGTTAGACCAGAACTTGCAGCCATCCTCCTGCCTCTGCCTCCATGTGCTAGGGCTGTAGGCATGTACCACTAAGCCTGCTTCAAACTAATATGTTTAATAATCCTGTGCTTCACAGTACAGCTGGTTATAAATGAAGTAGAACTGTTCCCCAAGCAAATTCTGTAAAGGTCCAGCCACCATTAACTATCAAAACTAAACATATAATTACTTTCAATACTTATGCTGGAATACATATTGATTTTTTTTCCCTGAGTTTCTCAGCACCACAAGAATGGGAAGGGGTTAAAAATGTGTGAATGCGTATGTACGCGCATGCACATAATGTAAGATTTAACAGAAGGGACAGCGCCGCTGGATGGGGTAGGGATCTGGATAAGGGGGTGGGGATGGAACAGGAGGAATCAGGTGTAGAGAGGAAGGAGGAGAGAGCACTAGGAGAGACAACTGGAATCTGAGGGCATCTCTGGGGTAAGCTAGAAACCTAGTGCAATTGATACTCGTAACAATCTATGGAGGTGATCCTAGCTAAGACTCATACCAATAGGGGATATGGGGCCTGAACCGGCCATCTCCTATAGCCAGGCAAGACTTCCAGTCACAAAACCTTCGATCTACAATTTGTCCTGCCTACAAGATATGCAGGGGGTAAAGGTGGCACAGAAATTAAAAGAGTGATCAACCAATGACTGGCCCAGCTTGAGACCCATACCATGAGAAGGAGCTAATCCCTGAGAGCCAGGACCCAGAGGCGGAACAGGGAACAATCCAGAGACATAGAATAGAAACAAACATGACTGGCAAAAAAAATAAAAAGTCAATGATTTTTTCCTAGTGAAAGGAAATGATTCCTAATGATATTCTACTATATTCCTGATGATATTCTACTATATTCTTGATGATATTCTACTATATTCCTAATGATATTCTACTATATTCCTGATGATATTCTACTATATTCTTGATGATATTCTACTATATTCCTAATGATATTCTACTATATTCCTGATGATATTCTACTATATTACTGATGATATTCTACTATATTCCTGATGATATTCTACTATATTCCTGATGATATTCTACTATATTCCTAATGATATTCTACTATATTCCTGATGATATTCTACTATATCCCTGATGATATTCTACTATATTCCTAATGATATTCTGCTGTATTCAGAGAATGATGCCTGGCCCAACAGTTATCAAAGAGGCTTCATAGAGTACCTGCTGGAAACAGATGCAGAGACCCTAGCCAAAGCTTAGGTATAGCTTGATGAATCCTGTGGTAGAGGGGGAAGAATGACTATGGGAGCCAGTGGAGTCTAGGACACAAGAAAACCCACAGCATCAACTTACCTGGGCTCACAGGAACTCAGACTGAACCGACAACCAGGGAGCCCACATGGGACGAACCTAGGCCCGCTGGATATATGCTACAGTTGTATAGCTTGATCTTCTTGTGGGACTCCTAACAGAGGGAGCAGAGACTGTCTCTGACTGTTGCCTGCTTTTGAGACCCTTTCCCCTTACTGGACTACCTCGCCCAGCCTTAAGAGAAGAGGAGGTGCCTTACTGCAGCCTGACATGCAATAGCTGGATGATATCCATGGGAGGCCTCCCCTTTTCTGAAGAGTAACAGAAGAGGAACTGATTGGGGGTTGGGGGAGGCTGCGAAGAGGAGGAAGGGAAAACTGTAGTTGGGACATAAAAACAAAAAAAAATGAATGAATGAATGAGTGAGTGATTGAATGAATGAATAGGAAAAAATCCACATATAACTTTGACTCTCAGAAAACTACTTAAAAACAGAAAGAAGAAAGATTTAAATCTTGAGGTAATGGTGGCGTATGTCTTTAATCCTAGCACTCAAGAGGCAGAGGCAGGTAGATCTCTGTAAGTTTGAGGCCAGCCTGATCCACAAAGATAGTTCCAGAACAGCTAGGACTATTACACAGAGAAACCCTGTCTCTCAACATTTCTACACACCCATTGGTTTACAAACTGTTGCCCCCAGCTGCTCTCACAATACAAGAGCAGAACTGGTAGCTCAATGGAGAGCAGACAGATCGCAAAGCCTTGACTGTTTTCTCTGGCCCTCTATAAAGAGCTGACTTCACCAAAGCAAGTAAAAAGATTCACCAAGCTTCTTCTAAGATGACACTCAGTATCAGTAACCTGTCACCAAACAGAAACTTGATGAGAAAAAGTTAAATTTCCATGATTAACAATTAAATTATTTCAAAACACACTTGCCAGGCATGGTGGTTTGGGCCTTTAAGGCAAAGGATCTCTGAGTTCAAAACCAGTCTGCCTGGGGGCTGGAGAGATGGGTCAGTGGTTAAGAGCATTGCCTGCTCTTCCAGAGGTCCTGAGTTCAATTCCCAGCAACCACATGGTGGCTCACAACCATCTGTAATGAGGTCTGGTGCCCTCTTCTGGCCTGCAGACGTACACACAGACAGAATATTGTATGCATAATAAATAAATAAATAAATATTTTAAAAAAAAAAAAACCAGCCTGCCTATTCTGCATAACGAGTTCCAGGACAGCAGGGTTACATAGAGACCCCGTCTCAAAAAAATAAATAAAATAAATAAAAAAATGTTTATTACAAAGGAATCCCTGCAAAAACACAAAAAATGAAATGTTATCATACATACAGCAGCATAACCTTTAAAGGGCGCACCCCCCCATCTCAGGAAGCGCCTCACCTTTGGGTTGTGCATAACAATGGTCTCTCCGCTTGGAAACTCTAATCTGCGGTGCCACTGATTCGTGGTTACAGCTTTTTTGTACTCGGCCTGCAGCAATAAAACAACACATAATGCAGTCAGTCAATCTGACCACAGCAGACACATGGCGGGGGGGGGGGGGGGGGGGTAGGATTATGCTAGCAACACAGCACAAACACTAGGTCTGGCCTATTGGCTACCATTCTTTCTATCCTCTTACATAAAGTACTCCAGGGTTTGCTCTCACACATTCGCCATTACTGGGGGAAGATAATGGAGGTTTAGAGAGTGTATCAGTACTCAGGGCTCAACAAGTCAAGTGGCATAAAATGAACTTACTGTCTCACAGTTCTTGAAGCTACCACTCCAAAATCAAGGTAACAGCAGGACACCAATCGCCATGAAGCCTGCACAGAACACCCTCCTAACCACCCTTTACCGCTACAATCAAGGCCATTCCTTGACATAAGCCTCTCTATCTCCAAATTCTGCCTCTATCAAACCCCAGCATTCTGTCCAACTGAACATGTCTGTCTGCTTTATTATACACAAAGACACTCACTATACAAAGCTAAGGCCACCCCACTAAAGTAACTTCATCTTAACTGATTTCATCTGCAACAACCTAGCTCCTCACAAAGATGCATTCATGGGTACTGGGGGTTGGGACTTCAACAGTATTTTGGAGTAGAGGGGAAGGAAACACATTAAATCTCTCAAGGACTCTGAGAGGACAACTTTGGTGCTTTGACATACACACATGGTATTCAGCTCTACTTTGTTTAATGTGTGTGAGAGTTTTGCCTGTGTGTCTGTATATATACCATGTGCACACGTGGCATGGCCCGGAACTGGAGTTCCCAATAGTTATCAGCTGCCATGAGGGTGTTGGAAATTAACCCTGAGTCCTCTGTAGGATGAGACAGTGCTCTTATCCACTCAGGCAACTTTACAGCCCTCTCCCATTTTTTTTTTTTTTTTTTTTTGGAGACAGGGTCTCAAGCTTGCTATATAGACCAAGCTGCCCTCTCACTCAGAAACCTACCTGCCTCTGCCTCTTGCTAGAATTAAAGACACAGGCTACCATACCCAGTCAATTTTTAAGCTCTTTTTATACCTTCCCTCCAAGAAGATCACTTGTGGGTACTAATCTTGAATTTCTGAGCCTAGCAGCTCATATCACAGTGTCCAGCTTCTGCATATCTTCTCTGCTCAGAATGCAGGAGATCAGACCCAGGGCCTTGTGAATCCTAGGCAGACCTCCTACACTCAGTTGCAAGCCCTAGCCCTCAGGAGTATCTTTTATGGACCTTCCTATAGACTCTAGGGTTTCCCTGGCATTATAAACAGTGTCTCCTATCATGGTCCAGACAGCTAGTTCTGCCACACACGAGCACCACTGATTCGCACCGATAATCTTTCACAGCCGCTCTCTACTCCTGCCTGTAGTGGGCTAACTGTATTTCTAAAGGTGTGCCTGGCTTTCTACAGAGACAGTAGTGTCTGTTCTTTGTCCTGGTACTCAGACAGGACAGAGAATCACATGCAGCATCTGTCTCTCACTTTCCACCTCCTTTGCCTCCACTAATGCTGTCGGTGTCTTGGGAAGCTGGGCAGGAGCTTGTGCCTCATGCTGATGGGCAGGACTTGGATAACAACCCCAGCCTAGAGCCTATGTCACCCACAAACAATATTACCACTAAAGAGAAAGTGCTTATTCTGCTTTCAGATTCTCATATTTGAACACTGTAATTTTAGCTTCAAACCAATAAGCCTAAACATCTGACTTTGGGATATTACAACTACAGTAGGACCCTATCTAAAAGTACCAACAATTATAGTATATCTTCAGTTATTTGCTTGTTTAGATTCAAAATTAAGCACTAGGAATCATCACCCTGTTAACACATTTCCCTTTATTGAACTAACTAAAATTATACTTCAAGGGACATCCAGAAGGCTCAGTGGGTAAAGGCATTTTCTGCCAAACTTAAAGACCTGAGTTTTATTCCCAGGACCTACATGGAGGAAGAAAAAGAACTAACTTTGGCATGTTCTCTGACCTCCAGTCATGCACCACAGTAAGCAAACACACACACATAAATAAGTGCCATAACACTGTTTCAAAAATTATGCTTTAAGAGATTGTTTTTGGCCCAGCAGCGATGGCGCACACCTTTAATCCCAGCACTCAGGCGGCAGAGGGAGGCGGGTCTGTGAGTTAGAGGCCAGTCTTGTCTATAGAGCAAGTTTCAAAACAGGCTCCAAACCTATACAGAGAAATTCTGTTTGGAAAACCAAAAGGAGATTGTTTTTGTAGACTGTTTCTCTATCTAGCCCAGGAGTCCTCAAACTCATGATAGCTGCCTTGAACTCATGAACACAAAGATTAAATCAATTGGTACCATGCCTGGTTTCTACCCAAATTTGCGTGAAGGCTAAGTATGAGCAGCTCAGCAGACATAGAATGCCCTCACAACCCGCCCCCCCCCCCCAGTCTTGACACTGGGTTGTTACATGCAGCACTTCCTGAATGACAACACCACCTAAAGACCCTCTGTGACCAGGATCAAGACAGGCCAGCTTGTAAACAAAGCCACCTGCACTGTGGTGCTGTCACAGCAGCCTCTGGCACACAGGCCTGCTTTGTAAAAGAGCATACAGAGGAAAACACTCATACCTCGAGCTTCTCACTGAACTCCTCTGTGTAGGGGATAAATCTGCTATCTGTGTCCCCCTTGTAAAACCAAGTACAGCGTCTCACTTCAGCTGGCTCCTCTTCCCAATATACAGACTTCCTCATGCGGTCATAGAGGTAGACATCATAGCGCCCTCCATCCGTGCCAAGAACCACACTCTCAGGATCTGGCTGCACTAGGAACCAACAGAGGACATTTTCCCCTAATGTTACCAGGCACATTGGAAAATACAAACCACATTAACAATAATATTCATGATGCTGCTAGTCAATACTCCAAGACAATTAAGCTTATTTTACTAAAAACAAGATAATCCATATTACTCAAAATTATGACATTCATTTATTTGTCTGTTTGTTTTTGAGGTAGAGTCTCACTCTGTAGCCCAGGCTGTCCTCAACCTCCTAGCAGTTCTCCTGCTCCAGCCTCCTGTGTACGGAGATCACAGGAGTGAGCCGCCATACAGCAGAAAGAAAGAGTGAGAGCAAGCTTTAAAAACACAATCATGAAATAACTGAAATAATTCATGATTTGTTTAATCAAACCATATGTACTGCCTGCCAAACACCTGTAATCTTAGTACTTAAGTATGGAATCAGGAAGATTATGAGTTCCTGGCTAATTCTTGCAACACGGTGAGTTAGAGGCCAGCCAGAACTCAATAAGATCCCATTTCAAAAGTAAAACAAAGCAGTAACATCAATGTACCACAGTGTTCCATGAAGTATAGTGCTAGAGAATACTGACTGGGTTGGGCAGTGGTGGTGCACGCCTTTAATCCCAGCATTGGAGAGGCAAGAGGCAAAGGCAGGCGGATCTCAATGAGTCCAAGGCCAGCCTGGTCTACAAACTGAGTTACAGGACAGCCAAGACTGTTTGACAGAGAAAGCCTGTCTCAAAAAAACAGGGGGAAAAAAAGAGAATACTGATATTTAATTCTCATAATCAAATAATATCAAGATAAAGAATCGTATCTGTATGCAAGACTTCTTAGAGTCTTAAGACACACCTATGTAGCACTCTCTCAAGAGGTAGACGTGGGAATAATTATTTCCAAAACTCATCTGACCTCAGAATAATTTTTTCAGAGCTTTTCCAAAGTCTACAGGAAATATTTATAGGACATCAAATATAAAACTTGGATTATGGGGCTGGAGAGATGGCTCAGTGGTTAAGAGCATTGCCTGCTCTTCCAAAGGTCCTGAGTTCAATTCCCAGCAACCACATGGTGGCTCACAACCATCTGTAAAGAGGTCTGGCGCCCTCTTCTGGTCTTCAGGCATACAGACAGAATATTGTATACATAATAAATAAATAAATAAATAATCAAATAGACTTCTTAAAAAAAAAAAAAACTTGGATTATGTACAAACTATACTTCCCCGATTTAAAACAACTTTTTGATAGTTTTGTTTCAGTAAGACAGGGTCACTTCACTATGTAGACCAGGCTGGCCTCAAACTAACAGAGAGTTGCCCTAAGTGCTGGGAAGAAAGATGTATGCCACCGTGCCCAGCTTAACAAAAGAAATTGCTAAACTATTTCCTTAAGGTCTTTGCTCAGTAACTCAGGATACATATGAATTAGAAGTACCATCTTAAAGTGGGGTCTGGAGATCTACACAGTTCAAGGAATCCGACAGCTGCAAAAAGTAGGCCATGGGTAAGTACGCTTCATCTTTTCTCTTCCTCCAATGAGATGGAATAATGCAAGCGGGTACTTACCCGAGTTATAGATCTCTTCAAGATTCAAAGAGTCAAGCTCACTGAAAGGCATCCACAGCTGTTTATATTCCACCTCCTTGCAGTAAAACCAGTGAGGCTGAACAGGTTCATACTGGTTCTGAAGCACAAAAGGAGGTGGCCCCTGTCCAGGGGGTCCTGCATGTCTGGCAGGTACCTGCTGCTGTGCTGGTGACTGCACTGCTGGAGGGAGCTGAGAGAACAAGGGAACCGTCACATGTGCCCAGAAGGAATTCTCTAGCTGCTTCAGAATCCACAAGATATCAATAATAAGTATCTCACATGTATTTCTAGGTAACTATTTAGGGTCATGAGTAGTGTAACAAAACCTCAACTCAGTTACAAAGTAAACTACACTTCTGCACACTAACGGCAAACTGACACCAACAAAGACATTTCCCATATTTTTTAAATTTTTCATTGTTGTTTTGTTTATCAAGACAAGGTTTTTCTCTATGTAGCCTTGGCTGTCCTGGAACTCACTCTGTAGACCAGGTTGACCTCAAACTCCCAGAGATCCGCCTGCCTCTGCCTCCTTAGTGCTAGGATTAAAAGTGTGTGCCACCATTGCCTGAAAATTTCTAAATTTGTAATAAATTTAGTTTTAAATATTTTCATACAATATATTATCATATTATTTCCCTCTCCTGCCCCCACAGTCCCCATCGCCCCACTTAATGTTCTTTCTCTTTAAAAAAAAAAAAAAAATCCCAAAATAAAAAAAAAAAACATGGAGTTCATTTTGTGTGGCCCACCCTGGAGTGGCTGATACCCAGTGTGACTCCAGGAAAAAACTGCTTTCCCTCTCCCAGCAGCTACCAAGCACAAACAGCTTCGTGGTTGGGGTGGAACTTTGTGCCCACTTCTCCTCTCAGTGCTGGGGTTTTATCTGGCCTGAACTTGTGAAGCATGCACAAGATCGACGTGGTTCCCACAAGTTTTTTATAGGTTTATTAATATACACTGTTCTGTCTGCATCCAAGTCTACATGCCAGAAGAGGGCATCAGATCTCATGATAGATGGTTGGGAGCAGCCATGCAGCTGGTGGGAATTGAACTCAAGGCCTCTAGAAGAACAGCCAGAGCTCTTAACCTTTGAGCCATCTCTCCAGTCCTAATTTTTAAAATCATTACAACACCCATACTTTTTGACCCATCATTCCACTTCTAAGTATGTAAACATGTAAATGTTAATCCAACACACAAGGATACACGTAAGTTTGGTTGGCTACAGCCAAACTCTATAAACATTAAAATTAGTGGCAGAATCACTTGTAGTCCCTGTCCTGAGCACTCTCACTACCTAGTATAAGATGAGAAGCAGCAGGCAGTCTATTAAGACTGCACTGCCTCACTTCTCACGTCCTTAAATAACATTTGATATTATACACTAAAATCTGAGAATATCAGCATGTGCCCAGGCAATTAAAATCAACCATTATTGCATTAAATAGGTGATATAAACTTGAATATGAACCATGTGATAGTAGCTACCTTAAAGCAAATTTATACATTTGTGCTGCGCGCAAAGTGTGGAAGTAAGGGGACAATTTGTAGGAGTCAGTGTTCTCCTTCCACCACATGGGCCCTGGGCATCGAAACCAAGTCCTCAGGCTTCGTGGCAAGTGCCTATACTCTGAGCCATCTTGCCAGCCTCCAATTAGCTACTGCTAAAGGGTTTACCTCAAAGCACACAGTTCGCAAACAAGAGCCTCTGTGACACAGACCCAGAACACCAATTACTTGGGATTGAGGCAGGGAGATTAAGAGTTTGAGGCCAAACAAAGCAATTTAGGAAGATCCTGTCTCAAAATTACAAGGTGCACTGGGTGTACAGCTCAGTGGGAATGCTTACCTACCTACCACACTCATCACCCTGGTTTTCATCACCAGTAACACACCAGTAACACCCTCTGTAAAAAGCCAGCCTGGCCTACAGAGCAAGTTTCAGGACAGCCAGGGCTAGCTACACAGTGAAACCCTGCCTCAAAAAATAAACAAAAAATTCTGTCCTGGCCGGGCGATGGTGGTGCACGCCTTTAAATCCCAGCACTCGGGAGGCAGAGGCAGGTGGATCTCTGTGAGTTCGAGACCAGCCTGGTCTACAGAGCTAGTTCCAGGACAGGCTCCAAAGCCACAGAGAAACCCTGTCTCGAAAAACCAAAAATAAATAAATAAATAAATAAATAAAAAATAAAAAATAAAAAAATCTGTCCTGGTGTAGAGAAATGGCCCAGTGATTAAAAGTACTTATTGTGGTTGCAAAAAAAAAAAAAAAAAAAACTGGTTCGTTTCCCAGGGCCCAATCTTCTAGGGAATCAGAAATCAGACAACCCTTTCTGGCCTCCCGGGGCACCAGCACAAATGTGATGCACAGACACACATTCAGGTAAAACACCTATACCTAGAAAATAAGTTAAAAATATATTTTATACTTAGTATATGTTAGAATGTATAAAATTGAGCTGGAGAGATGACTCAGCAGGTAAGGGCACTGACTGTTCTTTCAGAGGACAAATCCTAGCATTCATATGGTGGCTAACACCTGTAACTCCAGTTCCAAGGAATCTGATGCCTCCTTGTGGCCTCCACGGGCATTGCATGCACATGGTACAAGAACACACATGCAGTCAAAACAATACACATAACAAAAATAAACTCAAAAATTTTCTCTTATCATACAAAGTTTTTTCAAACTTCTCTAAGAGAGAAAACTAGTATGGCGTCCACATACCGGTGGCATCGGTCCTGGAGGCATTTGGTACGTCTGCACAGGGGGTCCGGAAGGCGGAGGGTAGGAGGGATGGCCTGGTGTCTGGCACTGCTGCAGCTGTGGGGGTGTAATGTAGGGATTCGCCCTGCTGCTGATAGGAGTGTGACGGTATGGGTTATGTCCTTGTTGAGGAATCCCTTGGGGAGGGCTCCCAAAGTTTGGAGGGAGACTGCTCGGCTGAGAAGGCAAATAGGTATTTACTCCCATCTGTGAGGGAGGTGCAGCACCATGATGAGCCTTGGAAACCGGTGGCAGAAATGCATTCGACACGTCTTGGGATCCAGTTGTGAAAGGGAGTGTGGCTGGGGGCTTGGAAAACGCCGACTGTCCAGCCGACACGGCGGTAGTTGTTGAGGGTGACTGTCCAATGTTCCCAAAAGGGTCACTACTGCTTGGTACCTGAGAGAAGTAACTGAATGTCTGCGGGGTGGAGGTGAGAGCAGAAGTCTGGCCAAGGAAACTATCTTCCTCACCAACATCTGTGGAGTCCTCTGCAATACAACAGGAGAGCAACGGAGAACAATGGCTTAAGAGCAGCACCACCCTCTGTGGGAGGCTCAGAGACGAAGGCGGAGCAACTAAGCCTCTTGCTTTGGTGAGCTAACTTGTATTTTCTGCATTAGAGTGAAAAAAGAAAATCTTTCCCTCAAAATCTTCTCTCGTAACCAGAGACCTCAAACCAGACCAATGACTCTTTGCAAGTAAAGATATACGAACAAAGGATATACTGTGTGCCTCACTGTGTCACGCTATAATTCCCACAAGATTTTCCCTTGTTTTTCTTTTTTTTTAATTATTTATTTACTTATTATGTATACAATATTCTGTCTGTGTGTAAGTCTGCAGGCCATCATGTGGTTGCCGGGAATTGAACTCAGGATCCTTGGAAGAACAGGCAGTGCTCTTAACCACTGAGCCATCTCTCCAGCCCCCTTGTTTTTCTTCTATTAAATTTCCTTTCATTTCACTGTGGAGGGGAGGGTGCAGGGGCAGAGGGCAAATACAAAGGAACAGGGCGGTAAATGGGATCAGGATGCATGGTGTGAAAGACAGAGAATAAAAAAGTTTTTAAAAAGTTCTCTTGTGGGCTGGAGAGATGGCTCAGAGGTTAAGAGCACAGGCTGATCTTCCAGAGACCCTGAGTTCAATTCCCAACAACCACATGGTGGCTCATAACCATCTATAAAGAGATCTGGTGTCCTCTTCTGACCTGCAGGCATACATGCAGGCACAATATTATATACATAATAACTAAATACATCTTTAAAACAAAAAAAAACTTTTTAAAAATTTGAGAAGAGGGCTGGAGAGATGGCTCAGAGGTTAAGAGCATTGCCTGTTCTTCCAAAGGTCCTGAGTTCAATTCCCAGCAACCACATGGTGGCTCACAACCATCTGTAACGAGGTCTGGTGCCCTCTTCTGGCCTGCAGGCATACACACAGACAGAATATTGTATACATAATAAATAAATATTTTAAAAAAATTTGAGAAGAAAAAACTTTATTTGAAAAAGAAAAAACTATAAAGAACATAAAAGTTATAAATTCCTCCATCAGACAGTCACTGTTAACATTAACTTTTGGAAAGCCAAGAATAATGATCCATGACCTTAATCCCAGCACTCAAGAGGCAGAGATAGTTCTAAGTTCCAGAACAGCCATGGCTACACAGAGAAACTTTATTTTAGAGAGAGAGAGGGGGGGGGCATACTCAGAAGGTAGGTGGGTCTGTTAGTTCAAGGTCAGCCTAGTCTACAAATAGAGTTCCAGAACAGCCAGGGCTGTTACATAGAGAAACCCTGTTCAAAAAACCAAAACAAAACAGAAAAATGTTCATGTTTACATAAGGATTTTTTTTAAAAGAAGCAATTTTTAACCTATTTTTATACGTTAAACCTTTTCCTGATATAATTCAAATGTTACCATATACCTAAACATACCTAATTTTATTTCAACAGTCATAAGAAGAAACTGAAACACAGGTATTAGTTGTATTGACAAGTAGAGGGTATGTCAGGGGTCTCAATTACAAAGTAACTATTGTTCAGGCTGGAGAGGTGGCTGGCTCCTCAGCCAGAGGACCTGGATTCAATTCCCAGCACCCACATGGCGGCTCACAACTGTCTGTAACTCCAAGACCTGACACCCTAATACATACATGCAGGCAAAAACACTAATGCAGGGGCTGGAGAGATGGCTCAGAGGTTAAGAGCATTGCCTGCTCTTCCAAAGGTCCTGAGTTCAATTCCCAGCAACCACATAGTGGCTCACAACCATCTGTAATGAGGTCTGGTGCCCTCTTCTGGCCTGCAGGCATACATGTAGACAAACTATTGTATACATAATAAATAGATAAATATTTAAAAAAAACACCAATGCACATTAAATAAAAAGAAAAGAACAAACCCCTATCTGTGAAAAAGTGCCCCACAGCCTAGTTGCTGAAGTGGATATATATATAGATAGATAGATAGATAGATAGATAGATAGATAGATAGATAGATAGATAGATAGATATACACACACACACATACATACATACACACACACACACATAAAATAACTATTGTTCAAATGAGTATGTGTGGAATATTTCTTTACACTATGTGAATGTCACTGTGATTGGCTTAATAAAAAAGCTAAACAGGCTGGACAGTGGTGGCCTAGCCTTTAATCCCAGCACTTGGGAGGCAGAGGCAGGCAGATCTCTGTGAGTTCAAGGCCAGTTTGGTCCACAGAAAGACAGGCTCCAAAGTTACACAGAGAAACCTTGTCTAGAAAAACAAAACAAAACAAAAAAAAAGGCTAAACAGCCAGTAGCTAGGCAGGACTTTGGGGGACAGAGAGAATGCTGGGGGGAAGAGCAGAGTCTGAGGAGTCACGAGCTAGACTCTGAAGAAGCAACATGGAAGGTACATAGATGAGGTAAACAAGCATCAGAGCAGCACACAGATTAATAAAATGGCCTAAGTGGTAAGAGCTAGCTGAAAAACAACCCTAAGCTATTGGCTAAGCTTTCATAATTAATAAGGAGTCTCCATGCGGCTATTTGGGAACGAGTGGAACTACCAAAAAACTCTGCCTACATATGGTGATGACTACAGGACACCTACACCCACATAAAACCTGAGGAAAATGGCCAGGTGGTAGTGGCACAAGCCTTTGATCCCACCACTTAGGAGTTGGTAATTTATGAGATTAGTTGGTATGGATTTTGGTTTACTGATACTAATTTAAAGTTGATTTTTGCTATACTGTATGTATATTTCTACTCTTTTTTGGGTGGTATTGTACTTATGCAGTTCAATTAAAAATGTAATGTATAATTAAGAAATACAAATTAGTAGGCATCTATAATAATCAAACCTGTATTAATAGTTATGTTTTCGAGGTTCAACAGATTTAGACAGACGGTCTTCAAATATTTCAAAGATCTACAGAAAATGGCATTTAAGGTATTTAATAATTTAACACTTTCCATGACAATGAGATACATATGCTCTTAACAACATCAATTTGCTTCAAAAGAGGATGATGAACATCAAAGAAACTCCCTATGGAGTTTGCTTGCTTTATGGCAAAAGCTAGCCATTAGGATAAAACAACTGCCCTTGCCTCAATTGCTGACAGCATACTGTCCAAACTGGATCAGTAGGATACAAAAGAAAGTGACCATCAAATTTTGCCAAGACAAGGTAGGACAGTCCATCAAAATTCACTAAATGTTTGTCAGATATTCTAGGCCAGATACTGTAGGCCAAAGCTGGATGCCCCAACGTTACAGAGGAACCTTGGGTGACTGTACAGACAGCCAGATGTCCCTGTCATTAGGTAACATTATATACCCTTTTGGGACCTTTGATGGAGTTAAAGACTTAATGTTTTCCTTAGTTATAATAAAAAGTAAATTAGGTATAAAACTTTGAGCTCACAAAGATAAATAATGGAGTATTTTTTCCACACATGCCAAATACAAACGGACTGGACATTGTAAATGTTAATTCTTACCTGACAATTGTTCTTATTCTCTATAGTTTTACTATGTTAAAACCTTTCTTTCTTATTTAGACAAAAAGGGGAAATGTGGAGTATTCCTTTACACTGTGTGAATATGTCACTGCGATTGGAATAATAAAAAAGCTAACAGTCAGCAGCTAGGCAGGATTTTCAGGGCAGAGAGACTGCTGGAGAGAAGAAAGACAGAGTCTGAAGAACAGCATGAGCCTGGGGCAGCACATAGAGTACCAGAAATGGGTTCATTTAAATTATAAGAGCTAGCTAGAAACAAAACTAAGCTATCAGCCAAGCTTTCATAATTAATAAGGAGTCTCCATGTTGTCATTTGGGAGCTGGTGGTCCCAATGAAAAGCTCTGCCTACAGCATGTGCTCTTTGTGTTCCCAAGGCAAGGTAGATAACCCATTAACTGCAGTCCCTAAAATGTAAGCAGTCATCAAAACTAGGTGTTCAGACATTACAGAACACCAAGTCACAGACTGGTAAGATGGCTCAGCAGGTAAAGTTGGCTGCCCCAGAACCAACTCCCACAAATTATTCTCTGATCCTCCGCATAAAACATACACAATAAATAAATGAATGAAAAACAAAACAGCAAGTCACTAGAAAATCATTTTTCTAAGGGAAAGTCTCCTTACTTCTCTCTGAACAACTTCATCTTCATTGTATTTTCAATTTAAACAATACCTCTGCTATCAAGTAATTCATGCTGGGAGCACACACCTTTAATCCCAGCACCCAGGAGGCAGATCTCTGTTGAGTTTGAGGCCAGCCTGGTCTACACAGTGAGTTCCAACATAGCCAGGACTACACAAAGAAACATTGTCTCAAAAAAAGGGGGAAAAAAAGTAATTCAGAAAAAAAATCTTTTTCTTTTTCTATTTTGCTGTCAAGTAATTCACAAAGAATCATCTTCCCACTAACTAACCTCAAGACCTTCACCCTACTCTTCCTCGATCTACATCTATGAACAGTTTTCTCCTTCCTTCCCTTGCTTTGGTCACCTTTCTCTGCAGCTGCTGGAGGGCTACAGTCCATCAGATGTGTAGTCACCCCAGTACACAGGCACGTTATGGTCCCTGCCCTTGGAAAACTGCCAAAGCTCTGGGCTCTCTGTGACCTCATGGTGATTCTGCCTTCAGCTTCCAGGCTGTTCCAATTATACTTCACACACCAATGTAGTGAAGAGACTCCACTCCACAGGTTTGATCATAATTTCCAAAACACAACTCTGTACAATCAGAGTACAGAGTCTGTGGCTGTCTTTCTGACCTATGATAGAAACACTGCTCAAAAGACAAGCCTACAGCCCCAGCTTCTCAGAGACTGAGGCAAACGAAACACCTGAGTCTAAACATATTTGGCAACATGAAGTGGCAACAGGAAGTGGCACTATTAGGAGGTATAGTTTTGTTGGAATGGGTGTGGCCTTGTTGAAGGAAGTGTGTCACTCACTGGAGTTGAGTTTTCCCATG